TCAGGCGTTGGCAAAGGTCTGGTCGGTGCAGTAACACGACCGGTTTCCGGGGTGGTGGATTTCGCCAGCAGCTCATTCGAGGGCATCCGCAGGTATATGTGTTTACTGGTTTTGATGTTTCCCTTTTAATTCATTTTATGAGGTCTTGCGATCGAACTTTAATGTGCTACCAAACTTTTTCCTGAACCTCTGCAGATTCGCAGACAGCGTGGAAGAAGTGGGACGTGTTCGTCCACCTCGTTATTTACGCATGGACGGTGTGATTCGACCGTACAAACGACGCGAAGCAGAAGGCCACCTGATTTTACGCGTAAGTTGTCTGTTCCCGTCCGAGTTTGAATACCACCACGTGTATCAACCATGACCGAAGCAACTAAGCTGACTTGTGTACATTGCACAACGCTGCTTGTCGATGGGTATTCACAGTCGTCCGGGGTTGTACTGACCGGGTTAGCGTTCGAAATCGGTTGAAAGAGATTTCCATTAAATGGCAATCTTTTCTCGGTGTTTCCGTATATCGTTTCGATCTAGGAATCACGGAATAAGGGTAGCCATCTGTTAGCTTTCAAGCTACTCACTATATCGCTGTATTGTTGAATTCTCGTTCCCGTTTGACCCATGTTAATGCCCTTTATGGTAAATTGTTGCGTACTGGCGTACTGGTTTTCGATACGTCATTATGAGTTTAAAATAGTAGGTTTTTGTGACGGACGGGTTCACCCGTTCTACTGCTCGTCGCAATCAAATGTGTGATACCAAGTACTGACATGGCATTCAATAAGGATTGCAATGCAATTGAAATTCCGAATTGGCCGATATTTATTCGTTGCATCACTCTGTGTTCATATTTAGAAATTAGATAAGGACGCCAACTACGGTCAATACGTGTATCATATCCCGGCCTCCCGCGGAAATAACATCCTGGTACTCACAAACAGGTGAGTGTTTCCTTCAAAGGTATCTTTTATTTTTTACTGTCCTTCGACGAATTTCACATATACTTTCTTGAAGGATATCAGTGTTTTCGTATTGCACTTCCGAAGTTGTTCTTGCAGGCGAAAACAATTCGTAGAGAGGGATATCTTGGCTCAAGATCTTTGTTGCCAACGTGTGGTGCTGCTTCTCAGTGGATTAAACAGAGTTTTCACTTTTATGTTCAATGTTTTGGTAAGGACTATGTCTGTGAAGTTGTTGTTTGATTCACTATAAAGAAAAATCGCATCAATTGCGCAACACTCCGGTTTGTCGGCCCCACATGACAATCGGCAATTCCCAATGTGGTGAGGTGCTACTCGTATCGTATGTGAGTAGCACGTTAGTGCGCGCACGGAAACAGCGTTCGATTCCTCTCCCCCCCTCCAACTTTGTGGAGTCGCAATAGGCTAATTGATTTCATGCGCAATGGTGAAAGATATCAACTAACTGTTGGAGTGTCTGTTCACCAATGCAACTTACCTGTTCCAAGCTACGTGTCAGGTATTTGGAACCCGATTTGACCTTTTATGCATTTTATTCTCACCTCGCACTTGGCTTGCATATTATTATTATTATTATTATTATTATCATTATATTTCACACTTGTCTGAGGCCGGGCTGTGTCAAACAAATCATGGTACAATAATCTTTATAATCGGTTTGTGTTTTCATAAAACTACATGGGCATCGAATCTGAATTGCTGAACAGGTTGATGCTTTGTAGGACTGATTGTGCAAAAATAGACCTTATTCATCCATTCGCCTAAGAGCAAACCTACTACCAGCCGTTGCCATCCGAGCAATATTTTTGTTTACACTGAATTGTCCGCTAGTCAGTCGGGCCTGGTAGGGGTTACTGTTTGTTCTTTTACATTTGACCCATAAAAATCAAGTTGAACCCTACTTTATTCTCTTTAAATTGTTCAGCGCAACAATCAATCCTACATAAATGTTTGCGGTTACGCTTACATAGATGACTACAGCACTTTACATTCACTACAGAGACTCAAAGAAAAGGAAATAGTTGTCTTAATCTGGTTAGCTTTTGCCGTGTCTGTTTGTTCCAATTCATCGTACTGTCAGCTATCCGAGATGTGTTTGGGCTTAGAAAGCATCAATCCCATCCTTGATTTGCTACTTGCTTTTACACGTACCGTCCTTCATACTTATCATCATTTTCTTGACTTCACTGTCCTCTGAATAGCGACTTGCTGCAAATTGAAAGCATGGATCTGTTGGGCACATTGTCCACAAACTGGCAAACACGACTGGACGCGCTTGCTAGCGTACCTGTTGTGAATCGGAATGGGATTCTCATCACGTTGAAGGAGAAGCAGAAGAAACTGTTCAGTTCGGGACATCAAACCAGACAATTTGACTGTGATCAAGTTACTGCTATGGTAAGTTGTTGTAGCCACTACTTGTCCTTAATTAAGCGATAATTCGAGTATACTTATATACGTGCTATGCAGCTTTTCAGCACCAGAGCAAGAGTAAGCCGTGTTGATTAGTGCAAATCGATATACATGGACAAAGAATTCTTCGTTCCGCTTTTTGGAGCTGACGTGGTATTGCGATTCGCCTCCATATTATTCAAACCAAAGCTGGTTAGTTATTGGAGACTCTCATCCGGAACTGTCAGCTAGCTGAAACCTGAACCGCAGAGGAGCGTGGCGGTGTGTAAAGACTGCTGCCCATCTTTGTCAGATCTTACATCCTTGAGCTGCGGTTCACACGTCCCATGTGCCCAAAATGTCCTACCGAGCCGGCGATCACCGCGACCGAAATGTCGTAGAAGTAGCGCATACGCCTCTTTTGGTAAAGTTCTTCTAGTGTATGTTTCTAGAGACGCGCTTCATGAAAGCATCCTTTGGGGATCGGAACGAAGTTTCACTCGCACTATAGCATTTGGGGTTTTATGAAGGCTTGCAGCATTTTATCCGACTGAACGGAAGGTTAATTTTCACACCAACGCCGGAATCGTTCGGGCTATGGCGGATGGTGGCAACCGTACCGGCAGTTATTGAGTTCCATCCTGCCTGAGTACCGATCCCTTCGTTTCACATTCATATTGTTGAGGTCACGGT